TCTGATGTGGGGTTAGTGAAGATCTTTTCCCATTCTGTAGGCTGTCGTTTTGTCTTGTTGACCATGTCCTTTGTTTTAAAGAAGCTTTCCAGTTTCAGGAGGTCCCATTTATTAATTGTTTCTCTCAGTGTCTGTGCTGCTGGGGTTCTATTTAGGAAGTGGTTCCCTGTGCCAGTGTGTTCAAGTGTACTTCCCACTTTCTCTTCTTTAAGGTTTAGTGTGGCTGGCTTTATGTTGAGGTTTTTGATCCATTTAGACTGAGTTTTGTGCATGGTGATAGATATGGGTCTATTTTCGTTCTTCTACATGTTGATATCCAGTTATGCCAGCACCATTTGTTAAATATGCTTTCTTTTTTTCCATTTGATATTTTTTGCTTCTTTATCAAAGATCAGGTGTTAGAAGATGTGTGGATTGATATCCGAGTCTTCTATTCAGTTCTATTGGTCCTCCTGTCTGTTCTTATGCCAATACCAGGCTGTTTTCAGTACTGTAGCTCTGTGGTAGAGTTTGAAGTCAGGGATTGTAATGCCTCCAGAAGTTCTTTTATTGTACAGGATTGTTTTGGCTATACTGGGTTTTTTGTTTTTCCAAATGAAGTTGAGTACCGTTCCTTTGAGGTCTTTAAAGAATTTTGCTGGGGCATTTTTACTTTCTAATGGAGGCCTTTTATCCTCTGCCAGCTCAGGGCAAATGGGTATGTGTCAGACTGTGGAGTGGGTGCTGGACTTCACTTGTGGGAGGGCAGTGCAGAGGGCCAGGAGCCAGGGTGGAGGATGAGTCTATGACCGCCTGATGGTTTTTTAGTGTCCCCCTGTGAGGAGGGATTAGTGGCAGGGGTGTGAGCAGAGCGGCAGAGGAGAGATGAGCATGCAGACCTTGGGTCTCTGGGTTCGCTTGTTGAACCTGTGCTGCAGAGAAATAACAGGTCTGATTCGTAGGAACAGGATGGCTAGCTGGTGAGAGGCATGGCCGAGGCCCCTGGGGGTACGCTGTGTGTGTGTGTGTGGGGGGGGATGACATCCTGTTTGCTGACGTCTGAGGTGGCCCTTCCTGACACACAGATTTGGTGAAGGTGCATTAGGTACCTTTGAGGTACTGGTGTCACTTGGGTTCTGGGACAAGTGTTCCAGGACCAAACTGACCGTGGGATGCCCTTGAGGGAACCCAGTACAGAACTGAGGCTGCCTTCCTGTCTCACAGGAACATTGAGGAAATCCTAGCAGCCCGAGGAGAGGAGGTTCGCCGTGTGCCTGAAGGATGCCCTGGTACTGATCCGGAGGCTGCTGAACCACCTGCCACCCTCCCTGGCAAGACTGAACAGAGCTGACTGTGGGGGCCAGCCTTAATAAGCTAAATACAGACAAGTCACTCAAAGGAAGCTCTTTGCCAGAGTAGAACTTGGCCATTGATAATTTAATAAGAGGCCGGAGTCTCAGTAGTTTACCCTGAGGCAATGCCTGGCTGCAGGAGGAACCACAAGCTGAGATTACCGTAGGGCAATGCTAGCTCTTAGACTCCTTCATGTTCCCATTTCACCTTGGGACCTGTTCCTTGCCTTGGCGGGAGACAAGCATTAACAGCTAGATATACTCTTGTTCTGTGCTTACCCGCGAAATGACTAATTTGGTTTATTTATTAGCTTTACAGAGTATGGAGTTCTAGTCTTGTACTTATTATAGATTGTTAAAAAACCAAGTTAGTCATCTTTAAAGTGCTGATGTGGTAGGTTACAGGAATGAGCCTCATTTAGTTCCCTGTGTATGTTTTCAAGGTCAAACTTAAAGCAGGTAATAAAAAGCAGGATTTGTCTAATCAACGTGCTTAGGCAGCCCTCATACTTCAGAGATATGCAGAATATGGCATTTAAAATAATGATTAAAAAACTTATTACAGGGGCTGGAGAGATGGCTTAGCTGTTAAGAGCATTGCCTGCTCTTCCAAAGGTCCTGAGTTCAATTCCCAGCAATCATATGATGGCTCACAACCATCTGTAATGAGGTCTGGTGCCCTCTTCTGGCCTTCAGGCATACACGCAGAAAGAATATTGTATACATAATAAATAAATTTTAAAAAGAGAGAGATGGCTCTTCCAGAGGGTCTAAGTTCAATTCCCAGCAACCACATGGTTTACAACCATCTATAGTGGGATCTGATGCCCTCTTCTGGCATAAAGGAGTACTTGCAATAGAGTACTCATACATAAAATAAATAGATATTTAAAGAGAGAGAAAGGGGGGGCAGTGGCGGCACACGTCTTTAGTCAAATAAAAAAACAAACAAATAAAAAAACTTACTATATTAGACAGAGACTTTGAGATCCTAACAGTAATCCAAGGTCTCCAAAGAAGATTATGAATGATATGCCTGAGGTCTCCACCTGGATTACGATGATGCTGACCACTGGGCAAGATGACCCCCAGTGTAGCACCAGCTTCCAGGGGCAAGCAGACCCAAGATTGGATCCTGTCTAGCTGCTTGTGAAGGGGGAAATGTGGGGGCCAGTCATAATAAGCTAAATATGGACAGGTCACCCAAAGAAAGCTCTTTGCCAGAGTAGAATTTGGCCATTGATAAATTTAATTAATAAGAGGCCAGAGTTTCAGTATTTACCCTGAGGCAATGCCTGGCTGTAGGAGGAACCACAAGCTGAGATTACCCGACCCCCATCCAAAGGAAATGCCTGGCATTCTAACCATTGTAGATAGGTCCACCTGCCAGCACGCATTCACCAGGACACCCTAGACAGATGTCAGTCAATCAGAGGTCCTGAACCTCAGAAACCCCTCACCCGCACCTTTACTATAAAAACCCAATCCTAGGGCTGGAGAGATGGCTCAGAGGTTAAGAGCACTGACTGCTCTTTCAGAGGTCCTGAGTTCAATTCCCAGCACCCACATGGTGGCTCACAACCATCTATGAGATCTGGTGCCCTCTTCTGGCCTGCAGGTGTACATGCAGGCAGTGGAAGACACCCCCCCCCAGCCAACACGACCCCCCAGGAACTCACAAGAGACCACACGAGGTTTATTTGGCAGGACAGGGACCAGTGCACTGGGGCCAAAACTCATTTCCCATGCAGGGGTAGAGTTCAACCCTGAGTAGCTGGGAGAGGGGGTATTTAAAGGGAACAAACCACAACCCAGTAATCCAAAGGGGGTAGGGAGGGTGTCATTGGAAAATACCAATGATAATCACAAGGGGGCAGCTCCCTGTTTCTCAAGATTATAATCTAATTTAATCTTCAGCTAGTTCCTGGAACAGAGTCACTAGATTTTTGATTCTTCTCTCCCTGCTTAGATTTTTTGGCTCTATTTTTTTCTGCTAGAGGGGTCTGGACTTATCTGGGTCTTTCAGCAGAACATTGTATACATTAAAAAAAAAAAAAACCAATTCTAATTGAGCTCGAGGCTCTCCGGATATTCCAGTATGTTGGACTTGCAGAGAGACCAAGTTTGCAAACTTGATTAAAATAAAGGCTCTTTGCTTTAACATATGGGACTTGGTCTCCTTTGTTGGCTTTGTGGCGACTCCTCAGATTTGGGCATAACACTGACTTGTACACCCCTGCAGTTGTGGACTCCGGTCTCCCAGAAGTTACCCCATCCACCTGGAACCCCAAGTCTGGCCTGCTCCTTGTCAGCAAACAGCTGTCACTTCCAGGTGCTGGGCCCTGGCTCCTGTTTTCCTTTCTGAATTCAGAACAACTCTGTGGCTCTGGGACCCCAGCCTCAGGAGCTTCCTTCCTCTTCAGTCACCTCATCCCTTGTGGCCCTGGGCAGTTTCTGTTCCTCAGAGCTCCACTACTTCCTCCTCTGTTGCCCACTCTCTCCTGCCTAGCACTGGTGGCTTCCATCGTGTGAGCTAATGTCAAGTCAAGCTCTGAGGCATGGCTTCTGTGGCAGAACTGGCTGCCCAGTGCAGCCAGTAGACCTGTGGGGTTCTGTTCAGAGGCTTGGAAGAAAGAAGAGGCCCCCCCTGAGCTGCCTGCACCTCTTAATGCTCCTTCCTGTGTTGGGGCCTACGAGGACATGTGTGGCAGTGATGAGGGCCATATCATGCTTGCCTTGGTGTGTGGTTCATCTCCCAACTTTGTTTGACACGCCTTCAGGATGTTCTTGTGTTAAGGAAAACAAGCAGATGCGAGACCAGGACAGGCTTTTTGCGGGAGTCTCTGGGCCCCTTGACGTTCACCATTAATCAGCAGCCCATCTGGCAGGGAGAGACCTGGGACAGGAGGGTGGAGTGTGACAGTGACACAATGCTGCCCTGTCTCCTGGGACCCAGCTAGTGATTAGCAGTTCACTCTAGGCCGTGGGAGGCCGGGTGCACTTGCTGGCACTCGATTACCCCCTGTCCTTCCTTCGGCAAACACCCTGCTATTATCCCCACCCAGAGCCTCCTGTGTCATTTGTGCAAACTGTCGGAGTCCTAGAGGCAGAACCAGCCCCCAGCTCCAGCCTGCTCCCTGTGGAGGACACAGAGGTCAGAGGGGGCTGACTGTTGTTTGTGGGCCTTCAAGTGCAAGAGGCCAGTGGAGCCCGACTAGGCTCTTTTGTTGCCTTCAAGTGTCTGGACCAGAGTTTGAGGATGTCCAGAGGTGGCTTGACCTGATGGTGCAGAACTGGATGGAGGGGACCTGCGCTGGATGGGAAGGCAAAATCCACTGTGGACTTATCTTTGCGTGTGCCTTCTGCATGCTGCTCCCATCTGGAGCCTTGCTGCTCCAGAGCCCTCTCCTTCCGGGGAGCCTCTCTGGATATCAGGGTCTCACTTGAAGCCTCACCTTCCACACAGACCATTATTGTATGGTCCATACGCTCACCCTGTCCTGCAGACTCACCTTGGGCCACTGTTGCCAATCATGGCAGCTTGGAGTTGTTCTGACTAGCTAGTAGAGCTGTCTCCTCCTTCCTACCACCCCAGCATCCTGGTACCTCTTGGCCAGCCCAGTGCTTTCAGCGTGACTCCCGTGGAGTGGTTCGGCCCTCTGATCACATGCCCTTCCCAGGGCAGCTCCTTCCAAAGTTGCCCTCCAGTACCTAAGCAGTCCCGGCATGCCTGGAAGAATCTGGCTACCTCTAGAGCCACCACAGTGCTCCAGACTCCAGCAACTTCTCTAGGTTATTTTATTGGTCTTATGTTCTGCCTCCCTTGGGCTAGGGCAGGCCTCTCCCCAAAGGGCCCTATCAGGATAGACTTGAGCTCCATGGGGTAATGCTCACCACATGAACGTGGAGGACAAGCCAGGCCCTCTCCCAGTTTCTCTGTTGCTTAGACTAGCACAATCCAGTCCCAGAATTAGGAACAAAGGGATCCCTGTGGCTGGAGCTAACCCAATGAGGGTGAGGCTGCTGAGAAGGGCTAGTCCCCACAGTGTTCCCCAATGCACAGTGACAAGCCTGGCTTCTGCTCCACATCTCTGGAAAGCCAGGACCATGAAGAACAGCAGAGAGTGCAGTAGGCAGAGGATGCAGCGAGTAGAGGCCCAGGCCCTAGCCCCCCATTGCTACAAGCAGCAGGGGCGGGGATGTTCCTCATGATCTCAGAGGGCTTGTGTGCTGGAGGACACTGCACTGGACAAGCCAACCCCACGTCCTGGGAAGGCCGACCGACACAAATTCCACCAGAAGCCACACTCACTTGGCAGACGTTTTATTTCTGGGTAAAACAAAAACGTACCTCTCGGGTTGGAAAGAACCCGTGGATAACATGGCAAACACGTGTGAGCAATAAATACGCATGTACATTCAAGTATGCAGGCGGCCACTACGTCCCGCCCGAGACCCTGTGCTCTGGTATTTGTTCCTGCCCTTGGGGTGCTGTTGCCTCTTAAAAGTTGGATCACAGGGCTGGCCCTATAGTTTCCCTTACCCTGGCCCCCTCCTAGGCTGCAGGGTAAGAGGCCCTGGGTTGTACAGAACCCTCCATTAGGGCTACCTGCAGGATCTGCAGACAAGAGCTGGGACAATAGTCCCTAAAGGTCTGTCTCGTGGATGCCCCAGCAGTCCGGCCTGAATCTCCATCCCAGCTGCAGAGCCCTGTGTCCAACTCAGATGTTGCAGCTGGACCCCTTGAGGAGAAAGCCAAGGTACCATTTCCCTAGTAGAAAGGGGTATGTGTTCACTGAGGGGACTGGAGGATCTAGCTGAACAGATACCTCATAATACCCACTGCCAGCCGGCAGGACAAGTCCTAGGACAAGACCCTGCCTGTGTTTTTGGCTTGGAAGCTTGCCTTGTCCCCCTGCTGGAGAAGGTTCATCTTTCCTCAAAGGCCAAGTGCAAGGCTGGCAACTACTTGGTCAGGGTGTCTGGACTTTGCAGCTGTCAATCTCCTGCGGCGGAGTTGGGCACAGACAGGCCAGGATAGGGCCTGCCCTGGGGAGGTGAGGCAGAATACAGAGTGTACCTCCTGCATAGCCATCCCAGGACCAGCTGGGGGACAGAACATGCCGTGCCACTGTAGCCCCCAGAAGAGTCTTTGAGGCTCCGCTGGGGAGCTTGGGGGAGTTGGCAGAATTTCACATTTGGCAGGGCAGGGCTTGAGGGAGAAGGGTCTGGACAGCACCGGGGCTTGGGGCCAACATGCTGAAGGCCCAGCCTGGAGCAGGGTAGGGCGGGGTCTGCAGGAAGCTATGGGCCATATGGGGTCAGAAGCATGCTCTCCCCCATATAGCAGCTCTAGCCTGAGCCCACCACCCTGGGATGGGGGTTCCTTGAGGGCTGGGTGCCCACCATTGGCTCAGTGGGAAGGGGTTGGGGGCTGAGCTGGCTCTCCATCATGGCCTTGGGAAGATTTGGCTTATCAAGGGGTTATGGCCACTGTGGACAACTGAGTCCCCAGAGTCCAGGGCAGGGCATGCCTGGCTGGAGGGGTGAGGCCTTAGCTGGCACCTGGTGGACACTGCTGCCGGGGCTCGTGCAGCCCACTGGCCTCCTGCTCTGGGCTCCCAGCAAGGTCCACACGCTGCTCATCCATCCGCTTAGCCTGCACTCTCTGGATGAGGCTGAAGAAATCCTCATCAGGCATGGTGGGGCCTCGGGGCAGCACATCCGGGGGTGGGCAGCGCTGGTCATCAATCCTGGAGGACTGGGCAGACACAGTGGAGATTGACGGTCTTACATTTCTTAGGCCTTTTGGAGGGCCTATCCTAGCACTGGGTGGGCAATGAGCTTACTGAAAATCTAAGGGTAGCAAACACTGGCTCGAGAGGAGTAGTGTACTCCAAGTGGGGCCCGCTTTCAGTCACCTCTTGCCTCCCTGGTTCTGGGATAGTGTTAGGAGCCCTGCCCTAGGAATATCTCTTGATGACATCTCCCCAGAGCTGTGGCCGGCCAACCAAACAGAAAGGGCGTGATAATATATTCTGGGCATAGAGCAAGCCAGCAGCTACTGGGCAGCCCTAGGGACAACTCCTGGAACCCATTAATCCAGGGACTGTACCCCTAAAACTACCCTGGAACCTAGCACAACCCTGGGCTGCCCTGGGGGCCACAGCTCAGAACCTGTTCTTTGGAAATCCCCCCAACCCCCACCCCGCCAAGGGTCTCCTTTGGATCAATCAGCTGACACCACAGGCTCTGTCTGCCTGTCCCGATGTGGGCCTGAAAGGTGTTTGTTTTTTCTTCAGAGCCTGGAGCAGAAGGGACTGGAGCCGGTGCAGCTGATGGCCCAAGTATTGGAGTGGGCGGGGCTTCTCGGGAGGAGCTGACTTAGAGGAGGTTGTCTGGATGCTGTTGGGGTTCTGTCTCTGTGAGAAGGAATATCTATCTGGAAGCTTAGCCTGATGCAGAGGTGGGGTGCCAGCCCCCGCCCTTCCTGCGTCTGACCAAGCCCCACCACATACATACTGCTCCAGCCGGAGGGCAGCTGGCTCAGCCCAGCAGCACCCTAACCCTACCCCATCCCATATCCCGAAGCCCATCCCTGGGTAGCCCTACCCTGGTTCTGTCTTCACAGGTCTGGGCTCTCCGTTTTACCTGTCAACCCCACAGTGATAGCCATTCTTGCCCCTAACCCTCCAGCCAGCTGTTAACACCCCAGCTCTTCTTCCCTCCCAACTCCAGGGTGTCAGTTGACCCTCAGCTTCCTCTGCCCAGATGTGGAAGCTGAAGTGGACATCCCTGGATTTGGGGACCTGGCAACCCAGGCTGACCTCTGGCACCAAAATGTGCTGAGGCTGGCATCTCAGGACATGCTCAGCCCCTTGGCAGAAGGAGGGCTTCAGGCCTGAGCATCTGCGGGGTGGTCCCTGAGTCTGGCTGTGCCTTCCTCATCACCAGCTTGTTACTGTGTCTCCCTCAGGCATCCCTCAAACAAGGCCAGAGAGAGAGAGACCAGAGCTTGCTGTGGGCCTGCTAGATGACTATACTGCAGCGGGCAGAGGACCACCAGAA